TATAAATAATGCAAAGTAAGTGATTAGAAGGCAGAATGTCACCCAGTAATGGCAGGAGCTCCGTTTAATGAGAACTTACTACGTGCTGGGCATACTGCTGCATGTATTGTGGGACCATCTAATTTAATACTCACAGTGACCTTTCGGATAAGTCCTGTTACTCGGTCAGCAGGTGAGGAGCCGCCTGAAGGCTGGTAGCCTGCAGGTAACGGCCCCGCAGTGTTTGGATTGAACACCGGCCCCACAGTTTGCCTGACCGTGAGGATGCCCCTTCTGGTTACTAATGCCCGGTGGTTTGGGGGAGCTTAGTGTCCTGTTCCGTCCCTGCCCCCCCCCCCCCCTTCATGACCTATACTCTATACCTTTAGTGGCCTTTTTTCTTAAATTCAGAATGGGTGTGTGTGGATGCTGCTAGTGACTCACGAGTAAATAGCCTGGAAGCTGGCTGGCTCCCCCGACAGGCTCCATGCTCCTCGCCGCCCCCTGTCTGTGCCTGTCTGTGCCTTCCTGCCCTTCTGTGACCTGTCCATGTGACTGCGCTGTGTCCCTCCATCCTCCCTGTGTGCACCTTAGAAACGATGCACATTGGTATTTGCATCAGCAGGGAGCCGGCTCCAGCAGAGGCGTGTCCTGTGACGGTCACTGGCTTTGCACAGACTCTGCCGTGACAGGGGGATCCCAGAGGACGGGCCTGCAGACTCGTGGCTGGGGCGCGCCCCCTCCCGGACTGTGGCTCTGGGGGCGCCGCCTCCGCCAGAGGACAGGCACTTCTCGGTGGTCCTGGGAGGTCGTTCAGTAATGACAGAGCAGGAGGGGCCAGATGGGAAGGAAGTGACGAAGTAGATGAGCTGGAGAGAGGAAGCCAAGATGAAGGAATGCGTGGCTGACCAGAGTCAGGCCGAAACGAGGTCGCAGCCCGGGCAGCCGGCCGGGCAGGTGGCCTTCCTGTGACGGCAGCCGGTTGGAATGAGGACTTTCCTGTGCCGCTCCCCACCTGGCTCCTTGGCTCCTCCCCGACCCGGGCCGAGCCTCACTTGGCCTGTGAGTCAGGGAATGAGGGCCGCCGCCCGCTCCCCCATCCTGTCTCACCTGGCGCGTGGCCTGGAGGTCAGCGGGAAGGGCTCGCGTCTGGAGAGCAGCTCGTGGAGTTCATTCCTAACGAGGGTTTGTGGCTGACGCCCTGGGAGGGTCTTCTCTCATTTGAAAAATGATCTTAGCTCTAAACAAACCAAACCCGTTGAGTGTAATTTAAGCACATTTTCCAAGCACTTGGGGGAGGTGTTAATCCTGTGTCGGTGGGTCAGCAGGGGGCGCTGTGGGAGTGAGCTTCGGGCGGGTTTGGAGCTGCACGCTCACCCCAGCGGTACTTGTAGACAGTGGCTGCTTCCCGGCCCACGCTAGGCCCGGCCTGCTCTCAGCTCTCGCCTGTTGTCCAGTGGTCACGGGTTAAGCCGTGGTGCCCAGCGGGCATTGAACTTGTGCCCTGTCTGCTTGATTGTTCTGCCTGGCCTAGTACACTTGGCCCCTTCTTCCTGGTACAGAGATTAGATAGGCAGCACCTGGCATGTTCCTGCTGCCCTGGCCGCAGCCTCAGGCCTCCTGCCCACCTGGGGGTGCCTCCCACGGCACCGGTGCCTGCGCCCTACCTGCCGGGGCACTGCTGTTTGTGCCAGGGCCAGAGCGGTAGCTGGCGTTTACCGAGGAGGCCTTCCTGGGAGGGGGACCACCATGTTCCTGTGGATAGAGGTCTGTCTCCTCTGCATGGCACTTGGCCTTGGGAGCCTGTGTCTTCCTTTCTTGTTTGATCGGAGCATCTGTAAGACCATCTCCGACTTATGGCCACAGAGTGGCTGAGCCCGATGGCACGCGCTGGCCAGGGGCAAAGGGGCACCCCGGCTGCCTTCGGGGGCTGCTGCCCTGAGACACAGCCCTCTTTCCTCAGACGTCCCCCCGGGCCTCCAAGCGGCTCAGAGAGAAAACCAAAGGGGGCCCGGCCAGTGTGCTCAGCGGTTGAGTGTTGACCTATGAGCCAGGAGGTCCCGGTTCGCTTCCTGGTCAGGGCACATGCTGGGTTGTGGGCTCGATCCCCAGTGTGGGGCATGTGGGAGGCAGCTGATCAGTGAGTTTCTCTCATCATGGATGCTTCTATCTCTCCCTCCCCCTCCCTTCCTCTCTGAATAAAAATGTATTAAAAACAAAACAAAATCAAAGGGAGGCATCAGGTTCTCATTGCCCGTGATTTTCTGTCTGTTTCAGCCAGAGACCCTCTCCTGCCTGGTCTGCTGGCAGAGCTCTGTGTACGGGAGCCCTGGTCTGGCTTTGCCCGCGGCTGGGGCTCCTGTGCCAGGGCTGCCTCTGGAGCCGTCCTTAGTCTGCCCTTGACTCCTGTGCCCTTGGAACTTAGACAGATGCAGGTTGCAGGCTGGTCACTGTGTCGTGCTCCTTCGGCGTCCGTTCCCCTTCCTTCCGTTTCCTCATGATTAAGTTCAGGTTATGTAACTTGGGCAGGTGACGCACACCTTCTCCGTCACGTGACTGATGACCTTCACTCGGGTGGCCAGGTTTAGGCTGTGTCTGCCAGGCTGCACGGCGGAGCCGCTCATTCCCCTCAGGATGGGGCGGGTTTGGCCGGGATGTACTTTGTAACTGTCCCTTTCCGCACCAGCTTTTGCCTTCATTAGCTCACTGCCCTCACCTGGACTCCCGGGGTCCTTACTGGCCGTCGCCCGTGACTGTCCGTCCTCACGTGGGCTCGCCATCTTCCTTTGAGCGCTCTCTTCTTTGGCACAGGGCTCGCCCTGTGCTCCCTGACCCAGCTCTGAACGCGCGGAGCCCGGGTTTCTTTGCTGCAGCAGGTATTTCGAAACCACGATCTGACACTAGATACATTTGTGGTTGGGGTGTTGCTGCGCCCGGCCGCTCTGGGCAGAGCTGTGCTCTGTGACACGGCATGTGCGTCTGGTGCTCTGGACCCCATCCACTGACCCGCGAGTTCACGCTGGGGCCTCCAGGTCTCACCCAGCGCTAGGCTGGCCTCTGCCTCCTCCATGATCCCGCTCTGACCCAGGAGCCTGGCTTCCAGGTCCTCAGACCTATTTGCTTCCCGGTTCAGCCTCCTGTGTGCCCATCTCCGCTTTCACCCTGTGCCCAGCACGGACGTCCTCACCCCCGCATCACCCCTCTTGGGCTCCATCTAAAGGGGTGTTGAGGGGAGACTGGGGCCGGAGGCAGGAGAGGGACTTGGGGCTTTCTGCCCGCCCCCTCTTCCTTTGAGTGACAGCGAAGCGCTTTCTAGTGGTGGCTGATCCCAGTGTGGCGGCTCCCACGCTGGCGGCCCGGCCTCAGCTGGTCCAGCCCAAGAAGCCCCACCGTGAGCTCAGAAACCCCAGTACCAGCAGCAGCCCAGAGCCCTTTGCGGGGGTCAGAGGTCCAGCCCTCCCTGAGGTCCTTCCTGACTGGCTTCCTGCGCCTGCTCTCCGTGAGAAGTTAGGGGTCGGCGTCGCTTCTTAGGTCCCTGCTGCGTAGTTCTGTACGTTAAAGTCTCTGTTCAAATGACCGGTGTGGTTTCTGTCTCTTGACCCTGCCCTGTCCAGACGGCAGGGTCGGCGTGGCCTGTGTGGACACGCTCACACCCTGTGGAAATGTCACTTTCTCTGCACCTCCGACGTGTCCGCGGGAGCTCGTGGGCTCCGTGCTGAGTGGTCTGCCCGGGTTGGGCTTTCTGTCCTGGGTCACACAGGGCAGTGCTGCGGCTGCTGCGGACTGACGGAAGCATTCCTGTTCCCGAGGA